ACTTTAGCAGGAGCACTTTTTGTTTTCTCTGCACTTGAAATGAAAGGACTATTTGGGGATATAGTAGAAGAACTCCCTATTTGTCCCATTCCTATCCCCAGGATGCTTTTTCAAGAGGCAACTGGACTTTTTGTTTTTTTGTTTTCCTTGAAGATGTATAGATTCTCATCCAAGAAGCTCCTTCAGTTCTGGATAAATATCAAAATCTTATTTTGTTCACTAGTGTGAATTTCCGGGGAAGGGTGCAAAGTAGATGCTAGAAGATACAGTTGGCACCTCAGATTTGAAGATGAAACTATGTTTAACATCAACCTAAGTCACATAGAGCTGTTCTTAGAAAAATTAGTGTCTTTAATTACTGTCAATTTGTTTTTTTAAAAAATAGGGTATTTTGTCATCGCAGGAAGAAAGATCCAGACTTCCCCTTCTGTCCTCTACCACAGGAGAAAGGAGACGCGCTGAGGTATATAATGTATACTTGTAGGTCACGTTAGTATATGTTTATGAAAAAAATGTAGAGAAACTGTAAATATTTTTTTTTTCACAATTGATAGTTAATAAGGCACGTGCAACATATTTTATATAGTGTATATGCTTGTTTTATATTTCTACTGCATATATGAGATCCACACACAATTATCAGAGTTCATGCTCATTCTTGGTTCGTTCCTTCCTTGCTACATTAACTACTTGCTTTGGCCACATACAATAGTGAAATAAAATTTAGATGTTTCATATTTTGTTTGAACCACTGTGTTTTGCATTGCCTAAACGGATTAACTAAAATTAGATCATTCCTTTTCTATCCCAGCGTGAATATTTATTGCCTGCATTGAACATCTACAGCAGGGGTCTTCAAACTTGATAGCTTTAAGACTTGTGGACTTCAACTCCCAGAATTCCTCCTCTAGTCAGGTTAGCTCAGGAATTCTTGGAGTTGAAGTCTACAAGTCTTAAACTTGCCAAGTTTGAAGACCCTTGATCTACAGCAATAAATTGGGAGTTGCACGTGGTTGTGCTCATCTTGACATGCATGATTTTAATATGCACAAATATACTTGTCTACACCCCAGACTTTTTTCCTAAAGAGGAAGTTTAAACTAATATCCTCTTTACACTGACATCAGATAATTTATGGAAACAAATTAATGTAATTCTTCTCATGATCATGAAATGTATCTCCCAGAAAAAGAAAGAAACGTAACAAGCAAACCTCTAAAATTCATTTTATGTTTGTCATTCTTCACGGAACTGCCAGGTTTCCAGGAGCCGAGAAAATATTAGGATACACCTGGGCCAAGATTTAACTTTAAAGATGCGTTCCCATCAGGTAAGCAACCTAGCATACGAGGAACCTTTTGAGTGTGCCTGACCGAGGAATAGTTCACGTCATAATAAGAGGTGAAGAAGCCCAATGGCAAGTGATGGGGTAATGGGGGTGGGAGTAATCAGTGGGCTGATATGGAAATGTATTCCTGACTTGCAATGTATTTTGGTTTCTCTAGATTGTTCAAACCAAAACTGAAAGATTGGAAGTAGATCTGAAGAGAGCGAGGCAGCAGAGTTATACGTAAGTCATGGCATAAATCATGCCTTTATGTGGTGCACAAATGTTTTAGATATCTTCTCTAGGATGACTTCTGAAAAGTATTTAGTAACAATTTCCTGTTTATTATCTTGATGGATTATCTGCCCTCAAGTCATTTAATACTCACCTAGTTTATTTAGTGATTACATATCATGAGATAACCATACATTCCTAAAAAAGAAGCACTCCTTCAAATCTTGGCATGATTCTATTAAGTTCACACATTAAACACAACATTTCTCTTTTCTACATTGGCAATGGGACTGGCCATTTTATCAAACAAGTGATGAAAATTATGTTCTCCTAAAGCTTGGAAATAAGGTGGGAATAGCAACCCTTGAATTTGTTTTTTAAACAAAACCTCTCATAATGACTGACAATTGTATTAATACCCTTGATATTTCATGCTCCCTCATAAACAAGGTCCTGCCTTAATCACTGAGGAAGCAACTTGTTCTGATAGGTTGACAGTTAGGCATTTGTGAGAAGTGAGAACTTTCCCCATATCCTACATCCACAGCTTTACTTTGCTTCTGAAAATCATTTTGAATTTGTTTCAGCCTTTCGTGGAAGGTATAAAAAAAAAGAAAAATAACCGGTTAAAGCGTTATTTCCTGTGTGTTTATATAAACACAAACACACACACACACACACACATATGAAGGTATTTTGATGTGTTTTAATTGAAGAAAAAGATTGATAATTCAAGTAAGAAAATGAATTAAGGGAGCTAATTTCTCTCCGGTATTCATATTTGCAGAAAGACAATGGAAATGTCAAAACTGCTGACAGAAAAAGAGGAGCTGGAATTAAAAATTCAGGATCTTACAAATAAAAATCTTCAACTGGCCAAAGAAAAAGAGGAACTCTGTGAAGAATATGAAGAAAAGCTGAGCAGGTGAGAAAATTTTAGATAGCAACCCTGACTTTCTCTTCCTTTCTCAGTTATTTCAATTAGTTTTAATTTTGAACAAGTTTTATGATTCCAATAAAAAAAATCTAAGGGGGCTAATTTCACTATTTTACAGGAAAAGTAGCTCTGATGAGTCTGAGCAGCTGGACAAACTCAGACGGGAGAATGAGAGTCTCAGCTGCCAGATTCAAAGATTCGCTGGAGAAAAAGCAGAGCTCCTGCGAGAAAATAATGACCTTAAAGAAGAACTTTATAGGTGAGAAATATTTAGATGCAACCTTAACTTTTTTTTTCAAATATAAATTTACTTATTAGAGCCCTTAGGCCAGATACACTGGATAAAAGAAATAGTCCATTCTTTCATAAGTATGTATAAGTGAATTAGAGCAATAGGTATAATGAAATACAAAAATTATTAGGAATGTAGGTATGCTTAGTAATTCAAGTAAAAAATTAAGAGGGCTAATATCTCTCTGGTCCTCAAAATTTACAGAAAGACAGCAGTGATATCAAAACTGATATCAGAGAAAGAAGAGCTTCTAATCCAGACCGAGATGCTGACGTTCAAAAATATTCAACTAAGCGACGAGAAAGAGGCGCTCTTCAGAGAGTACAAAGAAAGACTGTGGAGGTGAGAAACTTTTAGATAGCCACCATGAACTTCATGGTGTTCCGCTCCAAAATTTTTATATTAAGTTCTCCTTATCTTAGAAAGCTTGGAAAAACTTGACAATCTCCTTACTTTACCAAGAATTATGGCTCATTATACTTTTACAAATACAAATCTAGGAGTTAATCCCATGGAAGTGAATGGGAAGATATGTATAGGAGATATGTATATGTATAGGAGATCCCCTATACCTCCAATCCCCACTGGACAACAATATTTATACACTTCAAGAATGAAAGCTAACCGTCTGATTTTTTTCTAAAGAGAAACAACTGAGGAAGGGCTGCCGTGCATTCTTGATAGAGGGAGACCAGATGGACCAGAAAATTAGTGTTAGGGAGTGCAAAAGAGGCTCCGAGAGTGTTTGCCAAACAAGGGCAGACATTACAGAGGACAAGACAGAAGAAGCTCATGAAAAAATGGTGGAACATAAATTGAATAAGAAGTGGCTTAAAGCTTCGGTAGACAGCCTCAAAACCAAAAAATCTAAGGAACCCAGGGCAAATGTACTGAGATGGCTTCAGCAATCTCTGAAAATCCTGAAAGAGGATTACTCTAAACTGTCAAGATACACCCTGCCAGAATGGCTTAAAGCATCCACGACCAACCTCCCAAAGGAATGCGATGAGGCATCCAGGGAGGATGTGAATGGTTGGCTGCATGTATCGCTAAGTCATCTCCAAGAAGAAGGGCCGGAAACGTGTGATTTGGATGTGCAGGAATGGCTTGAAGCATCTATTATAGGCATTCAACATCGACAAAAGTCCAAGTAAAAGTCTTGAGGAAGCCTAAGGAAGGGATGCTTTGAAAAATCAATAGAGAACCTCAAGAAGTAACGTCCTGAAGGATCTGTGGTGAATATATTAGAATGGTTTCAAGGATCCTTAGAAAGCCTCTCACTGTCTGGAGAACCTAGACCAGTTCTTGAAAAGTGGCTTTGACAATCCTTGGAAAACCTGCAAGAAAAAGGTTCTGAAGTATCTAAAGAAGATGCCCAAAATGGCTCAAAATATCTGGAAAGAATCTTGAGAAGGAAAGAGCTAAAACACCAAACCTAGATACTGAGGAATGGCTTAAAGCCTCTATTTAAGGCATTCGGGATCCACAGAAGTCCCTGATAAAGATTACAAGAACTCTAAGGAAGAGATGGTTTGTCAGTAGAGAATCAATAGAGAACCTCAAGAAGAAATGTTCTGAAGGACCCGTGGAGAATATATTACAATGGCTTCAAGGATCCTTAGAAAGCTTTTCATTTTCTGAAGAACCTGTACCACCGCTTCTTGAAAATGGCTTGAACAATCCCTGAAAACTTGGAAAAGGGCCTGAAACATACAAACAAGATGCCAAAAATGGCTTGAAATATCTGTAAATAGTTTCAGAGAGGAAGGACCTGAAACATCCCGTCTAGGTACTCAGGAATGTGACTTGAAGCATCTATTAAGGGCATCCAGGATCTCCAATACTCTTTAAGGAATCAAAAGCAAGCATGGTAAAGAGGAAGAAGAGAGTGATTTGTGTAGAACCTGTTTGCTCTGAAAGAAACTAAAAGATGGATGGATGGATGGTTTCAAACATCTTTAGCAAGTTCCAGAAAGCATGGTTCTATCACAATCCCCGGAAGAAGCCAGAAACAACCCAGAAGAATGGCTCTAGGAATCCACAGAAAATGTCCTGAAGAAATTGAGCAATATGTGAATGAGTAGCTTGAGATAGTCTTCAATCACCTCCACGAGGAAGGGCCTGAAACCTCCCATCCCATTTTGGTATAGGCTTGTCTCTCATTTCTGCTGCTTCTAATGCGACTGGGATCAAGATGACCGAATGAACACACCGGAAACCTATCGGCAAATATGTATTGTTTTGTTTTTTTAAAACTGCTTGGGCTTTTTTTTAAAGTGAGTGGCATCTATGGTATTACAGCATGAGCTTCATTCCCAGTGAATGCTTGTCATCAACCATTGTGATTATCTAGATGCTGCCTTAAGTTGGGTGGGAGGAGAAAAGAAAGAGAGTGGAAGAAAAAAGGAAAGAAGGAGAGATTGATATGGAGGAAGAAAGGGAAAGAAGCAGGGCCAAACAACAAGCATGATTTATGCCAAAATGTCAAGAACGGATAGACAACGGTAGAGTACAGACAAAGGATAAACCAAGGTTGCATATGACATACAGGCTGTCACACTAACCTACAGAGCACAACTCACAAACAAAGAGATCCTTGGGAATTAGGAATTTTGCCAGTGAGAGCTGGATGATGCCCGAAGATAACCATCAAAGTTAAATAATTCTCAATGATAGCCTATCAAGAAACTTCAAGCCAAGTAAGATGTCACAAAAGCTGTCACCAAGGATCTAGTTGAAGAAATGCATTTAAGCATTAGTTTAGAAATTAGATCGGTCAGCAATGACAATAAGTTTAGATGCACACCTCTGTTTCTAGGTGTTATGAAGAGGAAGCATTTTTCCTAAACAATACATATTAGTGTTACACAGTCTCATGTGAATTTACCCTACATAGATGTAAACAAAATGAGAGATGATTCTGTAACTAAGCGGTTACCGTATTTATCGGCGTATAACACGCACAGGCGTATAACACGCATTCCCTTTAAGAGGGAAATTTCAGGAAAAAAATAAGAGGATTCCGCTCCCTGGACATCGGCATATAACACTCATACATCATTTGCCCCCTATTTTCAGGGGGAAAAAGTGCGTGTTATACGCCGATAAATACGGTAGTTTACGGATCAGAAGGTCTGGAAATAGCTTTCCCATGAACTCAAGGGCTGTCTTAAACAAGCCATGATCACTTAGCACATTTAGGAAAGGAACAAGGGAGATTTATTTGTCATGGCTGTGGTAAGAATTTCCAAAGCATCTTGACGAGGAGCACTCTGAATATTGCACCTTCTCTGCTGGAGAATCGGTGGGCCTCCAGTATTTTGGGGGTAGAAATTCCCACTCGTGGGCCTTCCCTTGGGGACTGCAATCCAGGAAGATGTGCAGCACCGCTCTTCAGAGAAGATTCGTCTGATTCTTACAGGAGAAGTGTCAGCTCAGTTTCGGCATGTGCTACGCTCTTATGGACTATTTCAAATGGATCTTCACTGTTGATCATTTTCTTTGTTTGGAATCAACTCACCTGCGTGTATAAAATGATTTAGGGCACCACATGCAGCTCTCATGGAAAAGCCAGAAGTGAAAGCTGGAAGCTTTGAAAGTGCAAACGAATCAACCAAAATCAGGAGTGCTGCCCTAAGTGCGCCATTGCTAACATAACAATGCAGCCTAGGTGAAAGGGAAGGGGTGCCTTATCAGGAAACTTCTCAAGACTTCTATGCCCATCTGACAGATATGGACCATGGTCTGGTCCACGGTCTGGGCCTCAGAGTATCTCCGTTGCCTGAAATGGGGGTCCCAGCAACCGAAGAGAGATCATTGGACTTGATGCTGTGGGAGTATGAGCGGATTTCCAGAAAAACTGCAGAGTGCGCAAACCCTTTCAGCAATTCCAAAAAGGTTCCACGCCCATTTGCACTCCCAGGTGACCCTGAGGACATAGACAAACCTCCAGGTGGGCTCAAATACTCTCTAAAAGAATACAAATGACCAGCGGCCTGTAAGGAATATAAATCCTTCCATTCCCTATCGTCCAGTCAAGAGCTGGAGAAGCTTCTTGGATAAGAATCAAAATGTCTTCAAAGAAAAAGCAAGAAAGTCCAGTTACCTCTTGAAAAAGCGTCTTTGGACATTGGACTTGATGCTTTTTTGTATTTAATTTCCCTGCTACCTGTTCTTAATAAAGCCTGAAATCTCCTTATTAACTGGTATGTTCATTGTCTTTGGATTCTCAAAAGGCCATTTATCTTGCACCTGGTTGTTGCCTGACACTTGGCCAAACACACGCACACACACACACAGAGGGAGACATATCAGATCTATCCCATCAGACTGATTTACTTTCAATAAGAAAGTAAATTTACAATCAAACAAAGGAATCACTCAAAGAAATTTACTATTCAGAGGCAATTGCGCAAAGAGACCAGATCACCAACAAACCCAGCTCTCACTAGAAATCAACTGGATCCACCAGATATCTGGACCCCCAGAATGGGCTTGGCCTTGCATAGGAAGCCCAAAGCAGACTGCAGCACTACAGAGCCATCAAGCCACATTGCGGCACATGCCCAGCATGGGAAGCTTGGCTTGCTTTTCGACCCAGGGATTTCCCCAGCCCGATCTCCTTGCCACTTTCTTTGTAAGGGAAGAAGCCAGGCTCTGCTCCCTCACGTGAAATGGAGCACATAATCTCCATGCCAGGAGCAGCCTTCCTCCCAAGACATTTTTCTAGGAACCGGAGTTCTGGGCAGGCTCACTGATTCTGCAGCAAGGACAGCTAGTATTGGGGCACCCGCAAAGAAAGCCTTCTGTTCTTTCCATTCTAGGTTAAGCTGAAAGGAAGTAGCGTGCAAAGAGCCACATAATATTGTACTCCCCACGTCTTGCCAAATGACCTCACCTAATGGTTTCATCTACTGCTGGTGTTAAAAAGGACCAGCCACAAACCCTGATCACTCAGACCATGCTATTCACGTGCTTACACAGTGCTTGAAGGCTGTGAATTTTGGGGTAGGGAGGCATGTTTGTCTACCTCAAACCTGATTCTCAATGAGATAAGTGCTCCCCAAGAGACAGCTGGTAGGCAATTGGGGTTCCCTCTGGATTCACAGTTGTTGCTCGAGGAGCGACTGGTAGCTGTGGCTAGCTGGCTTTGCAAAGAGCCATCTCCTGCATCAAATTTGCCCATTCCTAGATTGAGAGGGTTTGCCCACAGTTTCGTCCCTTTATACCTGGACTTGTGTAACGGACTGTCCAGCTAATAATCTTTTGGCTGACACACTGCATGGACTTTGTTTTTTCCTCACGTTTAATACAAAGTGCTGGTTATCACTTTTCAAGCCGCAAATAGCACAGAGCCAGGATACTTGCAAGAAGGCATCTCTCTAAAAAGGTACATGCCCACAGGACTGAGCCAGATAGAG